GCGTGCATTAATTGACGTCTAGTTCGAGTCGATCTTGTTCAGTTCATTTGGATTTTGAGACTTAATTTTCGCAGTTTACAGCATTTCACGTCCACCCCACACACAACTACCAACGAACAAGGCCCAGTGCAATTCATTAACGTGTACACGATTTGAAAAAATCGCAAATGTGCGTCACTACACTAAAACAAATGCTTTTCAACCGGGGTCTGCAGAGTTAAGAATTACATTAATGTGCAGCATTTTGTTCAAATAGAGACATATTTGTGAATACAAATGTTATAGTTTGTATTAAAGTATCATGATTTGTGCATGTAGCGATTAAAATGTGCATTTGTGGATCAGGCGACACGCGTGCATTCATTCACTTCTCTTCTGAATCGATTCTATTTGATTCATTTGAATTTTGAGACTTTTGTTCCGCCCTTTTAGCCTTGCCCGCGCAGCTGAGCCTAAGAAAATCAGTGACCACTAGATGGCACTAGCCTCAGTCACATGTGCGCATTCCATTGAGTAGGGTTTCATGAATATTACATTGTGTTTTCTTTGTTTCTTTTTGGTTTGGCTATTCTCGTCTACCGTAGAAATATAATGAAGATGTTTTATTGAACTTGTTCTAACTTAACTTGTCTTAAGACACAGAATAGTATGCCAAACAAGAACTTTGTGACGGTACCTTGTTTTTTCTTTCTTTCTGTAATTCAACAGCATGTTGTCAGTTATTCCTTCCTTGTAGGTTATTATTATTATTAATTAATTTTTCAAATCGTGTAAACGTTAATGAATTGCACTGGGCCTTGTTCGTTGGTAGTTGTGTGTGGGCGGGGACGTGAAATGCTGTAAACTGCGAAAATTAATTCTCAAAATCCAAATGAACTGAACAAGATCGACTGGAACTAGACGTCAATGAATGCACGCGTGTCACCTGATCCACATATGCACAGATTCCTTTTTGCATGAGCAATTTATGATATATTAATGCAGAACAGAACATTTTTATTCGCAAACATGTCTGTATTTGTACAAATTGCTGCACAATCATTTAATCCAGAATTCCACTGACTCAAATTGAAAGGCATTTGTTTGTGGTTAAGATACATGTATAAAAT